GGGGGGGGGGGGGGATGGCCCCCAACCAGGCTTCTCCAGAGGACAGTCATCCTGGCCCATAGAGGGTAAAAAGGAACCAGTGGCCGAGTACTCACTCTGCCCAGGCTCCCATGAATACCACAGCAGCCTCACTCAAGCCATTTCACTGAGGAAATGTCGGCCTAGCCTAGCGGATACCCCTGACTGGCACGGGGCCCAGAACACTGCTCTGCAAAGGTAGCACAGGGAACCTGCTACTTGAGAGTTTGTGCTAGGCACTCCATGAGGAGGCACTTTCTCATAGGATGTTCTCTGTCCACAGGGCTGGACACAGGAGGGCTCAGGAATGATAGAATCTCACTTAAGCCAGCCCACTTACTAGCTCAGAGAGCCCAGGCTGTCAGAGCTGCTTCTGCAGGAGTCTTGTAAGCTAAGACACTCTTCACAGGCCCACTCTCAGAGGAGTTACATGCCAGGGTCAATTTAAATGACTACCCTGGCTCAGCCGGCATGGCTCAGTGGTTGAGCATCAACCTAGGATCCAGGAGATTGTGGTTTGATTCCTGGTCAGGGCATGTGCCTCTGCTGCGGTCTCGATCTCCAGTGGGGGGCCTGCAGAAGGCAGCTGATCAATGGCTCATCATTAATGTTTCTCTCTCCCTCTCCCTGAAATCAATAAAAATATATTTTAAAAAATAAAAACAAATAAATGACTACCCTGGCAGGCAGGGACCACCCCAATTGCTCCAGGGTGGCCCTTCATTCTGGAAATCCTGACTTGTAGACTCCAGGGAGTCTCTACCTCACTCCACCCCCATGGCTCCAGCATGAGCCTTTCCCCCCTTCCGCTTAAAGTGTCCTTTTTTTTTAAGTAGACTATCACCCTCCCTTTCGGAGACTGCCTTCAACACTGCCTCCTGTCTGGACTCTTTTTTAAAAACATATCTTTATTGATTTCAGAGACAGGAAGAGAAACATCAATGATGAGAGTCATTGGTCAGCTGCCTCCGGCACGCCCCCCCACTGGGGATCGAGCCCACACCCCGGACATGTGCTCTGACCGGGAATCGAACCTCGATCTCCAGGACCTAGATGCTCAAGCGCCGAGCCACGCCCGCCAGGCCTGTGCGGATTCTTTACCCAAGCCAAGGCCCCGGTCACTCTCAGGGGGCCCTGTTTCAGTGGCTCAGCAGTCACGTCCTCTTTCCTTCCCGCTTTCGTGAGCCGGCGAGGTTCCCAGAGGGCTGGGCGCGCCTGTCGGCCTAGGCCGGGCCGCCGTGAAGTGCTTAATAAACACGTGCTGGGCAAGGGGTCCACAGGCGCGGGCCACAGCTCGCAGGTATTCCCGTCACCCACCAGCACCGGCCGAGGAGGGCCCCAGGCATCCGGCCGCCGCGCTCGGGCCGGGGTCGCCGCAGGG